CCCCCCCCCCCCCCCCCCAATACCCCTCCTCGCTACGGCCCTGAGATAGATATTGGGAAGCAGTGATCTCTCTCTCTAAAAAATGCAGTAAAATAACTAATGGTCACATAACATGACTGCCATAAGCGTCACTAGTATTTAAAACGTTGTAAAACTCAATACAAAAAGAGTGACAAGCTATATCTTTCAAGTCACATAGCAAACGACATTTGCTTCATAATATAACTGATTTCAACACGTAACATTTTGTAAAAGTTATTACCAATTAAAATAATTTTCCCTGGTTCAAAATTGCCCCATTTAATTGAAAGGGATGCTTTATCATTTACTAGCTTTCAGATCAGAGATAAGGTATATCATTAACGTAGTATGGCCCAGTTAAAATTAATCCTATTCGATTGAAGATAAACTGCAGTTTAACCTCGCTTGCGTGCTGTGAGCTGTGCATGTGCCTGTCGGAATTACTGAATATTTATTTGTATATATATTTACATAATAAGAAAACTTCACGGTTGGTTCGATGGTACAATCGTTGCGGCCGAAGGCAGCCTCCTATTCTTGACACACTGCATTCTCTCACACAAGTCTTTCGCGCGAGTTATGTCAAAATCACGATTTGGTTTCGGGGTGGATGTCTGTTCAAAATACTCAGGGGGGAGGGGATATATATTATGCTAAATAGATGTTTGTAAATTTTGAGGGGGAGAAGAAGATTTAAAACTTTATTTTGTATTGCGCACACATGATTCTTCTCAGGATTTCATTTACGAGTATGTTGGATTTTCACAATCAGAATCATCAGATGCAAACGATCAACAAATATATTTAGAATAATTTAGGTAAGGATGGCTTTATTTCTTTCTGGTGATATAGATATACATGAAGGAATTTACAGTTAGATCTGCTGCCGATATAGAAGTAATGAAATAATATGATTACATGAATTTATCAGCAGTTTATTAAATCCTAGTTCACTGTCACTGATCGTCTTATTTTAAACAATAACAATAATTCAAAGTATATGCTTGTTTCGGTTTGGCGATATGACAAGGCGATGAATTTATTGTGTTTATTCGAGATGTTTATAGTAATGACAATGTGCTTTTTAAATAATTCCGGTAAGGCTGTCCATTTCTTTCTGGTGATATATACTGTATACATGAAGGCATTTATATTTAGATCTGCTATTTAAAGATGATGCATACAGTATGTCCACTCCGTTCGGCGCATCAGTTCTGCTCATAACAAATGGGGATTGTGAGATATTGTTTATTAATAGACAGTTATAAATAGGACATTACGTACGCGTCATAAGGGGCGTGGACTATAAGACAATAGGTTGTTGTTTTGGGGATTTTTACGTTGAAGAATCGAACTAATGAACTAGAGTCTAGATTCGAATTGATATTATGAGAAAGTCTTACTACGGAATATAATACATCTAATTGAGCAGTCTAAAATATATTACATGGTCCTTCAGAGCTGGATTAAATTGAGGATAAAATGAGTAATATCAAGAAGAAAATAAAGATACGACAGGGTCATAGAGTTTATCTTACGAAGATTCTTGGCAATGCCGATGATATTGTTCAAAACTACGATGGAAATCAAGAAAAGAAACTAAAGCAAATCAGGATCACTCTAAAAGAACGATTGGACACTTTAAAGACCCTTGACGAAGAGATTCTAGAGCTTATCGAAGCTGACGAGGAAATATCTACTGAGATCGAAGAAGCAGGAAAATATCGCGAGAGTGTTCACGAAATGATTGTAAATATCGACAGCGTGCTCGAGGCCAAACCGATGAATGAAACTATGTCTATGAGTATGAACGATTCACAGCAACTATCTACACCAGGACATTATCAATCGACAATAAAACATGCGAAGTTGCCAAAACTTACTCTAAAACAATTTGATGGACAGCCATGCGAATGGCAAGCATTTTGGGACAGTTTTAAGTGCGCAATACATGAGAATCCAGGGTTATCCGACGTGGATAAATTCAATTACTTAAAAAGTTTACTGGAAAAGTCTGCAGCAGCCACGATCGAGGGTTTATCGTTGACAGAGAGTAACTATGAAACTGCGATTGAATTATTACAGCAAAGATTCGGAGACAAGCAAGTTGTCATTAGTAGCCATATGGATAGTTTATTAAAACTCCCACAACTACGTTCATCTACCGATACTAAAGGTTTACGGCGTCTTTATGATCAAATCGAAGCACACGTGAGAGGGCTAAAATCGTTAGACGTGCCAGACACGGAATACGGAGCGTTGTTATTACCGATTTTAATCGGCAAAATACCCGACGAAATATGCATTTTACTCGATCGCAAAATGACAGGCGAATCATGGAATTTGAATACGTTACTTGAGAATTTTCGCGAGGAATTGGAAAACCGGGAAAGATGCGAAGGAATTCAAGCTTTTTCTTTTAGAGACGGTCGAAATTTCAACGAACAACGAGGAGGGAGAAAATATTCGAACACGCCATTTACGGCAGCAGCGCTAATGACGGGTAAGACAACTATTAACTGTTCGTTTTGTCAAATAGAACATACGTCAGCCAGTTGTTTTGTTGTTACGGATATCGAAGCAAGAAAACAGATCTTACGAAAGCAAGGACGATGTTTTTTGTGTCTCAAACGAAATCATATTGCTCGGGATTGCGAATCAAGGTATATGTGCAAATATTGCTCGGGAAAGCATCATGTTAGTCTGTGTAATAATAATTCGAGACAGTCCTTAGCAACAAAGTCGAGACAGTCCTTAGCAACGAGACAAGAATCAAATTCCAGACAGCAATTAGGAAATGTACAAGATAGTCTAGCTAAAGAACAAACAACACAATCAAGGGACACGAAAGACACAGGAAACACGAAAGAGACCAGAAATTATCACGCATGTTTACAAGATTCAGTCTTATTACAAACAGCCAAGGCGAAAGTTGGCGTTGGAAACAAGAAGTTGACCACTGAGGTAAGAGTTATTTTTGATTCGGGCAGCCAGAGAAGTTATTTAACGCAACGAGTGCGAAATAAGTTGCAATTGCCCACAGGAAGTACAGAGTCTTTACGAATAAAAACATTCGGAGAATGCGAAACTGAACTAACTGCTTCTTGTGAGACAGTGAACTTAGCAGTTGGGGACATTACTGGTAGAACTAGAACACAAGTAGAAGCATTTGTCGTGCCAGTGATTTGTGCACCGCTAGGAAATCAAGAAATTGACAGAGCACAAGTAGAGTACAAACATTTGAGTGACTTAAACTTAGCTGATAATAATGAAGGGGACGGTGTAGCAGAGATAGATTTATTAATTGGAGCTGATCAAATCGGTAAATTTTTCACTGGCAAGATAAGACGGGGGGAGAATGCCAATAGTCCAATTGCAAGCGAAACAATCCTGGGATGGGTTTTGTCAGGCCCAATGCCATCAAGAAAGAAAACTACTCTGTCTTCTGTGAACTTTGTTTCAACTCATGTATTGAGAGTAGCAGCCGAATTGCCAAGTGTGGAGAATGAAAAACAACCTGAGGAGTTATTACATCGTCTGTGGGATTTAGAGTCAATTGGTATAACAGACAAAGAGACGGTGCATGAGTCATTTGAAAGAAACGTATCTTTTGAGAAGGGTAGATATCATGTTAAATTACCCTTGAAAGAAAAACATGATATTTTACCGGACAATTATGATTTAAGTCTAGCACGATTAGACTCGCAAGTGAAACGTTTAAGGCAAGAACCCAGTCTATTTGAGGAATACAACCAGATATTTAAAGAACAATTAAGTCAAGGAATTGTTGAAAAGGTTGAAGATCAAAATGAAGACTCAGTACCAGGCACTACACACTATCTCCCACACCAAGCAGTGGTACGAAAAGATGCAACCACTACAAAGGTGCGAGTTGTTTACGATGCCAGTGCGAAAGTTAAACCAAAGTGCCCATCTCTGAATGATTGCGTTCACACTGGACCATCTCTGGCTACAGATATTCTAAAGGTTCTTTTGGGTTTTCGAGGACGAAGAATTGGAATGGTTGCAGATATTGAGAAGGCATTTCTCAATATTGCTATTGATGAGGAACAAAAGGACATGATGCGTTTCTTGTGGATCGATGACATAAACAAGGAAAATCCATATGTTGAAGTCTACCGCTTCTGTAGGGTTATTTTTGGCATGAAGTGCTCTCCATTTCTCCTGAATGCAACATTACGTCACCACATTACGAATTACTATTATGATGACTCTAGCTTTGCAGAAAGGATTCTTTCAGAGCTTTACGTTGATGATTGGTCAGGAGGAGGAGAATCTACGGATGATGCATATATAATGTATCGACAGATGAAATCTTGTTTCGCAGCGGGCAATTTTAATCTGCGGAAATGGGCTACCAATAGTCCAGTATTGATGGCTCAGATTCAGAATGATGAGGAAGTATTAAAGTCACTAACCACAGAGCATTTGAACAACACTGGTGAAAGCTCATATGCTAAAGAGTCGATTGGCGGTCTGGAAGAAATAGAAACCCCGAAGGAACATAAGGTACTTGGGATGAATTGGGATACTGACAGCGATACTTTTGTTTTAAAGTTAACAAAAGTTGTTCAATTTGCAAGAAATTTAGAGCCATCAAAACGGAACGTTTTAAAGATAGCAGCAAAACTGTTTGATCCACTCGGACTTCTCTCGCCAGTTACTGTCTTGCTGAGAATGCTTCTACAAGAATTGTGTGCAGCTAAGTATGAATGGGATGCAGTCATATCAGAATCCAATCAGAAGGTGCTCGAGAAATGGATTGATGATTTAGAGACGGTGAGTTCTATAGTTGTACCTAGATATTACTTTTTGGCAGAGGAGAGGCATCCTGAAAGTGTGACTCTTCACGGATTTGGAGATGCTTCCCAAAAAGCTTGTTGTGCTGTCATTTATATAT